ATAGTATCATTTCAGAAAAGTATTGCCAATATTGAGCATCGGTATAACACTCTATTTTACTCCAGATTGCACGACTTCGTTTCCACACAGTGTATACATAACATTGGAAAGGAGTTGGAAAGGATGAAATTTGTTGGTTATTACAAAGCAACATGTGGTTGTTTCATTAGAATAACACATGGGTTACCTTTGTGTGTGTGAACTTGTAGGTTATCAAATACAAGGAGATTATATTCTTAGAATCGATACATGTGTTTTGGGAGAAATTATTCATTGAAGAGCATGAGGCCCTTGAAGAACAAACTGGAACACAATTGGATTTAGAAGAATAGTGTGAAGAGCTAAAAAATTATTTCGGTACATTGGATATTGTAGGCCAGGGGGCGGTGAAGAAAAAAGTTTGGGAACTAACACATCCTTCCACAACTTCCATGTGTCTACCACCAATGAAGTACAAGCCAAATAAGAGAAATAAGAAGAGTAAAAAGGGGTGAATAAAGTGATGTGCATAGTGATCTTTCATAATGGGAGTATGCTGAGGGCTCATAGGGAAGTAAGTGTACGAAGAGATCATGTACAAAACCAACTAAAAGTCAACCGTGTAGCGTGTCTTCAAAACTAAATTTTTTATCTTAGTTTCATATTTTCTTACATCAGTACATTGATGACATTGTTGATGTGGGTGGCGATGGAAATTAAGGTTTTCGGGCTATTGCAACTTTACTTGGATGGGGAAAAGAGTCTTGTCCTTTGGTTCAGACGTAATTAGATACTGAAGTTTATCAACACCATCAATTCTATTTCAATTTGTTCTATGACACAATACCAGAAGTTAGGATTATGTTGCAAGTAGCTAGCTTGGGTGTGCATGGTTATGACAAGTGGATGACGATTCTTGATATGGGTTATCCTAATGCTTCTATATACAATGTTATATTAGTCTCTTTCTTTAGGAACCGTAAAATTACATTCTTCCCATTAGTGATAGCTCCATGCATAACTTCAAGTAGACACAAAATGATTGCAGTCGGTTTTGTTAACTACAATCACTAGGTTCAGGTGAAATTGAAACCCAATTGTCATTTTTCTCCTATCATAGACCGATGGAGAAAAAACTGTAGTGATGTTGTAAGAACACGGGAACTAACATATAGAGGATGTATGAGGCACTAGGAAGAAGAAGTTAAATTCGACAAATTTATTTTGTAATGATATTATAACATTTTTTGCATTATATGTATATGTTTTATCTAGTATAGTTTGTTAAAAATGTAAAAAAAAAAAATATATGTTTTTTCATTAATTTCATTATTGCCTACCAGATATTTCAAAATTTCTGAAAAATTTGATGTGAATCATATTTTTCAAAAAATCTAGTAGCTTTTATATGTTTTCGGTTCTTTCGAAATATCCGATAATCTTGTCCTGGATTTTTCAAATATCCGGTATTTTTTCATCATTTTTCCAGAATTCCTTAAATTTTTATAGGAAATTTACAAAATGTCCAGTATTTCTGCATACTTTTACAAAATATCCGACACACTTGCAAAAAAATCCCAAAATTATTCATCCACGCAGTAAAACTTACAAAAAAATCTAATATTTGCATCAAAAATTCGATATTCACCTAAACTTTTAAAAACACAATTTTTTTTAATAAGAGTATAAGCATAATTACAGCCCCTTGTGGGGGTGCTAGGTCAAAAATAGAGGTGGCAGGATACAACCTCTTAAATCATCCCAAGCTTTTTTAGGGAATTTCTTACCTCGACCCATATGGCTGAAAAATACCCTATGCAATTCTGAAAATACCCCTGCGAAACCGAAAATGTATTTTTGGGATGCACCTTTTTTTGTTGCACATGCCTTAAAACCGGAAATACAGTTACGAGATGGAAACGTAAATGCATTTCGGGTTCCTATACAGATAGTAGCAGAAAAAGTTATGCATGCAGTATCCATTTTCGCATTGTTTCGCATTGTGAAAACTACAAAATAAATATATTGTAGTCAACAATACAAAAGGTGTCCAAAGTCAAGGTCTGTCACCCTCCCGATGTTCCTCCGCTTCCTCCTGTACAACAGAGCATGATGAGCCACCGCCATGATTGCATATAGAACACCTCCAACATCAGAGCCATCAGAAAAAGACCTCCATCAAAACTCGCATGTGCAATCTCCATGATACAACAACACCTAAATAACACATCAGTGGCATGATTGGGCTAAGCCTCCTCCTCCTCTAGAATCTCCTGATGAGCTGACCTCTGTGGGATTCTTGGAGCATCCTGTACTAGATAAGGATGAGACACCCTGAAGAACCATATGATATAATTTTCCACGTAGCTCCAGTCGTCTAGTGATAAGGTACACCGGGCCTCATATGGCACAAGATGATTAACATAATAATCAAACAAAACATCTATATTCTTCCATTTCACCAGGGGAGGAGTCGATACAACAGGATCCTGGAGAATATATTGCATGTACCCGAACTGATGCATGACACACTCAGGCAGATGAGTAGCCGTTTTGCACAACCCACAAGCCAACAATCCAAAATACAGTGTAACATCGTCAAATGGAATCGTGACACGATGGTCTACGTAGGTATGGAAGTGTATATCCTGAAACATCAACCAGTCAATATACACCCATAACGCCTTTGTCGCATGGTTCCCTCGGAGCGACTCGAATGCAGCGACACACGAACTTTATTCAGTATAACCCAAGGCAAGTGACCAATCTGAGATGCAGGGGAAGTGATGTAGGATCCAGGCCTGAAACTACAATGATTATTAGTTAGTAACAAAATTACAATAGTTAACAAAACATAATCAAAAAATGGAATCTGTGTAAGAGGCACTAGTGTCCACAAAAATGGTCGTGCCAATCAGAAACAAAAGGTATACTCTAATAGCACACCTCCAGTGATAGGTAACCTGCTCGGGATCACTATCAGCCTGTCGTGCACACTGTAGCTTATCCCTGAACACCTTCTTCAAATAACTAAATCTGGCATGAGTACCACGGGTGGCGTCCATCTCAACCATAGCACTCTTAGGGGAACTCACAATCTTTCTGCCAACAACTCTAACGCCTCATCTTTGTCGCACATGTCATGGTATAAAAACCTCCTTTTAATCGGAAGATGCAGTAGACACATAACGTCATTCAGTATGATCGACATCTCACCATGTGGTAGATGGAACAACGACGTCTCTTGATGCTACCTCTCAACAAAAGCGTTAATTATACCATGATTAACGATAGTATATCTAGTGAGGGTCAAATATCTCAACTATGTTAGCTGCAACAACCCATCAAACCATAGCTCATGAGGAGCTACGAGCTTAGTGATCTTCCATGTATGATTAATGACTTTAAACGGATCACGTTCCTGTATACATAGTTTAACAAAATTCATTAAAAATAATAAAATAAATTCAAAAAAAATTACTATAGCAATTGTAAATTCACACCTCTCTGTCCCATATATGTCTAGAAACATGGTCTGAATACAGAGGCAATAATGATAAATCAGAAGGTCCTCCTCCAAAACTTTGAGCCATCGCAGGTGCCGCCTCAGCTGGCTAGGCCTCAAGTGTCATCTGTGATTGAAGATGAGATGCAGGTTGTGGTTTGGTGTCAGGTGCCTCAGGCTGTGTGGCCTCCAGTGTCATATGGGAACCAGATGTCTCTCCTACCTCAAATACTATCAGTGAGGAAGTGTATCTACGAGAGGACGAAGGCGAGGGGAGATGAACTGGAGAACTTCGCATGCTGCAGAGGATGATGAAGTAGGTGTAGAAATAGGAACACCAGAGATTGTAGATGCATCAGACACAACCGATCCAGAGGCAGAAGGAGCCTGGGATGCCTGACTTATTTCCCTTTGCACAGAAGTATAGTGTGCAAGTCTGCAGTGTCTCATTTTAGATGATCTCTCAGTCATTACTCCTGTAGAAGAACGAAAAAAACATTAACAATAAGACTCAGGTTCAACAAAATGAAAAAATGCAGACAAACTAAAATCGGATATCCATTTTCGATTTTTAATGTAGACGTTGAACAAAATCGAAAATGCATATCCGGTACAACCTACAACTTTACAAGCTCATCCCTAATAACCTAAAAAACAGTCATTGATTGTAAAAAATACATACCTAACACGTTTCTTATGACTCCTAACATTGCAAACACTAAAATAAATTGAAATTTTGACCCCAAAACAGAATTTGTAGGTAAAATTACATAAACTCCAAAAAACTCGAGAACAACTTACAAGTGATGATTTTTATTGCTTGAATCTTCTTTAACATAAAAGTTTATCGGATGCTTGAGGATTCCTGATTAACTTTTTGCAAAATAGATTGGTTTTGATACAATCGAATTTGAGAGAGTTTGGTTTTTGTGTGCGACTGAAAATGAGGAAGGGGAAAAGGCAGCGTGCATTTAAGTGTCAACATGAACCGAAAACACAACTATGGTGTCAACCATAAATGTATTTCTAGTTTGTATCTGTGTGTTAGCTTGAGTTTCTCAGTCTTAAAAATTGTGTGCAGTTAGGGCGCTTCCGGAAATACAATTACGGTTTCACCCGTAGTTGTATTTCCAGCTAGTTTTCAACTAATACATAGGATCTTGTCCACCAAAATCCAGTTTTAGGTACGTACCAGAAATGCATTTTCAGTTTCAATTTTTTTTTTGTATTTTCGCATGGTGCGTTAAAAAAGTATGAGGTGGATTAAGAAATTTCCCTTTTTTATTGCTAAATTGGATTAGCCCATTAAAATAGCTTAATAACCAAAAAATCCCAATAGTTAAGACACGTTGTGGAACGCGAAAAATCAATAGTCCTATTTTTCTCTTTCTTTTTTTTCTTTCAATTTGGTGTGAATACTTTCTATTTGCGTAACCATTTCCATCTCTAGAAACACAAATCAAATTTTCATAAAAATACACAAAATTGAATTGATCGATTCTCTTTTGTTACAAACATGGGAGATCAAATGGCGAGAGCAGAGGATTTTGAGAATAAGGCAGAAAAAAAGCTGAGTAGTTGGGGCATGTTTGGTTCCAAATTTGAGGACGCTGCTGATCTATTCGATAAATCTGCCAATTCCTATAAGCTCTCCAAATCATGTAAAATCTCAAATTCTTCTTTTATTGATGATCAATTACATGTTACTAACGTTATTTAATTGTAAATTGTGATGCAATTGCCAATGTTGGACGAGTTTGCCCTTTCTCACCAATGTTAAACATAATGCTTGTTTCGCACATCATGTATATTGAGTTGTGACTTTGTTACTTTAGATTATTATATCAATTCTTATTGAAGCAAACTTTTAAGATAAAATCTCAATATTAATATTTTTTATTATAACTTTATATTCGGTACTGACACTTCAAATTCAAATTAAAGACATGTTCTAAGTCAGACACATGTAAATGTCAGGCACCATGATATCATCTATTTAGATTCTGTACATGCTTTCAAGTTGTTAATAATGTTTAGGTGTAGCAAAATCAGGCTAAAATTGTTTAGTTTTGGTGGTGATCACATTTCAGGGGACAAAGCAGGATCCACCTATGTTAAGTTGGAAAATTTCCATTTGAAGGTGACACAATTTATCTTTCTTTGGAGTTATACTAATTTGTTTCTTATTCTCTCTTAACCCTGAAATGATCTTTGTTGCCTTGTGATTGTGATTCTAGTTGGAAAGCAAGCATGAAGCTGCCTCGGCTTACGTTGATGCTGCACATTGCTATAAAAAAGTTAATATGAATGGTATGTATATGAGTTTATGGTTATATACACTAGGATTGTCCTAAAACTTATGTGGTATATGTTAGAACAAGATTAGTTCTGATCTATCTCAGAATTTTGATGATAACAATAAATTATATTTTAGATAATTTATACTCTGATGAACGTATTTGAATGTTTCAGATAATGTTCTGACAGAAGTATTTTGATGTGCTGAGCTAAAAAATTATATGAAGAAGTTCTTTAATGAAAGAACTATTTTTGCTTTAAGTGCAACTGCTGACTCTGGTGAGACAAATACTTTAAATGCATCTTCTAACACTTAGCTGGATTCCTTGCTCAGAAGATTACTTGAAAGCAAGTGTTGTTCAGAAGTTTATTTGAAAGCAAGCGCTGATCAAGTTCTTAGCAAGCAAAGCTTTGTTTAGAATATAAGAAAGCATGTTCTGAATACAAGACGTTGAAGCAATATCTGAAAGATTGTAAAAGCCAACTTGTCTTGTCAAGCTTCAGGAAACATGTTCTTACAAGTGTCGTTTGCTCATTAATGCAAAGACGGCTGTAAGCACTCAAGTGTCTAAGCTAGTTTCTTGGAAAATGGAATAGTGCAAGGAAACACGCAAACATTTAATGATCTCCACTTTTCTGAAGGCAACAACGGTCTTTTTGTTATTACTATATATAGAAGGACATTTATTACAAGCCAAAAAAACTAATAAAATTCAAAATAGAAGCAAGAAACTACGTGAATAATTTTGGGCTCACAAACTCTTTGTTCATACACTTTGTGCAATTTATTATAAGTGAAAAATCACAGTTGTGATATAGCTTGATTAGAAGCAAATTTTATCTCACTATCTGTAAAGATTAAACTCTTGTAATTGTTCCTTGAGAGACCAAGTTTGGTCAGATTTCTCAAGTAGACTAGAACTAGATTTAAGTCTTAGTGGTGTTAGTCACTTGTAAGATTACTTGTGCATTGTTAGTCACAAAAGTTGTTGGTGTTTGTAATTAGTTTATGATAGTGGATTAAGTCCTTGTTGAGAAAGGTGAAATCACCTTGACGGGTGGACTAGAGTAGTTTGAGTTTAAACGAACCAGGATAAAAATAACCTTGTCTTTCCATTATTGTTGAGCTTTGTTTTGAAAAGAAAAAGAGTCACTTATTCACCCCCCCCCCCTTCTAAGTGTTTTCTTACCCATTCAATTGGTATCAGAGCCTGGTTCTGAGCATAACACTTAATTGTGTCAGGAAAAGATCCAGAAGAAAACAAATGGTCGCTGAACAAAACAACAATAGTTACAACAAACCTCTTGTATTTGATGGAGAAGATTTTGAGTACTGGAAAGATAGACTAGAAATTTTATTTCTAGGTCATGATAGTGATCTATGGGATATAGTCTTGGATGGTTACAAACATCCCACTGACTCAAGGAAATATGATTGATAGATAAAATATGGATAGACAACAAAAAGCTGATTTCAAAAATCATCATAGAGCTAGAAATATTTTTCTAAATGCTATCTCTAAAGTGGAATATGAAAAGATTACAAATAGAGATACTGCTCATGATATGTTTGAGTCTCTTAAAATGACTCATGAAGGAAACGCTCAAGTGAAGGAGTCTAAAGCTCTGGCTTTAGTTCAGAAGTATGAAGCCTTCAAGATGAAGGAAAGTGAATCTATAGAATATATGTTCTCAAGGTTCCAAACTATGATTATTGGCTTGAGAGTTCTGAACAAGGGATATGCTAAGATGGATCACGTTAAGAAGATCATCAGAAGCTTACCCAGAAGATGGGCACCTATGGTCACTGCTTTCAAAGTTTCAAAAGATCTGAACAACGTATCTCTTGAAGAACTAATCAGTGCTCTCAGAAGTCATGAGATAGAACTTGAAGAGCACGAGCCTCGAGAAAAAGGTAAGTCCATTACCCTTAAATCAATTATAAAATATGAAACTAAAGTTTTTCAGGGTAAAGAAGAAAACTTTGAAGAATCTGCTTCAGAAGAAGATGAACTATCCTTGCTATCCATAAGGATCAATCAGCTATGGAAGCACAAGCAGAAGAATTTCAAAAACTCCAGAAGAACAAGAAATAACTCTGAACAATCCTCTAGACACAGGATATCAAGTAACAGAATCATTACCTGCTATGAATGCAATAAACAAGGTCACTACAAAAGTGAGTGTCCAAGGCTTCAGAAGGAAAAACATAAAGGGAAGTTAGTTAAAGAAAAGAAGAAAAGTCTTATGGCAACATGGGATGATTCTGAATCTTTTGAAGACGAAACAAAAGCAGAAGATGAACAAGCCAATATAGCTCAAACTGACAACTTATCAGATGTCTCAGAATCCTCAGAATCAGAATCAGAATCAAAATCAGACACTGAAGAGGTATTCCCTGACTTCACTGTTAATTTCACTAAAGCTAAACTAGGAGAAAGTCTGAGTGAAATTCTAGAAAGATATCAACAGCTCCAAGTCAAATTCAGGAATCTGAAAAAGGATCTTGCTTCTGACTCTGAAGTATCTAAAAGTCTTAGATCAGAAAACTCTGAGTTAAAAGAAAAGATTTCAAAACTAGAAAATGATCTACAAAACTCTCAGAAGGAAATAATCTCAGAAGATCCTAGTAATTCTGATAAGATCATAAAGAAATATGATCAAAGCTTTCAGAAGTTTCTAGCTAAAAACATAGATAGAAGAAAAATGGCTTCAATGATCTATGGAGTTAGCAAGAAAGACAGAATAGGCATAGGATACAAAGACAAAGTAACCCAACCTAAGAAAGTTAAGGATCTGGTTATCAAATGTACTCCTCTCTATTCTCACTTCACCACTGGGCATACACATCATATTAAACATACATCTCACTCTGGAAACTCTTATGCTAAACCTAAGTTCAAATAAAACTTTAAATACTCTAACCCAAGAGGACCCAAAAAGATATGGGTACTGTTGTACCCCAAAATTTTCCCTCCTCTTTTTCACAAGAAATCACAGCTTTGGGTTTTTCCTGATTTTTCAGACTGGCTCAAGAATCGGTCAAACAGACTTTTCTCGTCAGTCAGACAAAATTTAGGGTTGTCATTAATTTTAAAGCAGTTCAAGCAGATTGCTAAGGTTTGGTTGAGTTGGCTCAGGTTTTGATCAGGCGGACGCTTCTCTGACATTTAATCAAGAACTAGGGTTTGTGCACGCAGAAAGAATTAATTCTACAGTGCTTTTCAGTTTACTCTGAGATTTGGACAGAGGCATTTGGATTGAGAATTTGCAGTGTTTGGATTTAATCAGTGAAAAAAGGACATGTGGACATTTGTTGTTTAGCTGTGCAATGCTTCGATTATTCGGAACGACGGACGTTTATTGATTATTTATTATTCTGAGTTAAAATAGTTGGGATTTATTTCCAGTTATTATAATTTTAAGAATTATAAATAATTAAATAAACAGTTGAAGAAGAAAAAGAACTAACTGACAAAAGTGGATTTTATTCATCTTTAATTATTTGTTACAATTATTATTTGTACACTGTAAATTTATTTACAGATGTTTACATTAATAACGTTACAATAATTAAAAGTAAAATAAAGATACATCCTAAAAAATTCCTAAGTCTTCATCTTCTATAATGCTACTCCTCTTTTGCTCCATTGATTTTTATCTGCAAAACAAAGAAAAAGAAAAAGTCAAAAGCAGATGAAATAAATCAAAAGCAGACAGTTAAAATTCATCATTAAAAGTAATTGGCCAGAATCAGTTTGCCCTCTCTGCAAATCACGAGATTACTCTCGGTTCACAAAGAGGGATAGAAAAATGTCTTGCAAAAATGCACAAAGTTACAATATTGCACAAATTCAAAGTTTGTCAAACATACTGCATAAATCCAAATTTTCAACCAAAAGAGGCAAATCAATTGAAAAGTGCTAAAGCTGCATAGTTCATAAATTGTCAACAAAGTCCAAACTGAACTACAAAGTCACAATTTCAAACTAAGCCAAAGCTGTCAAAAGTTGTCCAAGAGATATAGAAAGATATCAAACTGTCCAAAGGCTATTCAAAGCTGTCAACAAAGTACACAATGTGCAGAAAAGCAGGAAATATGCAGAGTAAGGAAACTAGTGCAAGCAATGTTCAAATGCATCATTTCCCAAGCCAGTACATTTTCAGAATAGTACATCATAAGCAATAAAAAATGCTTAAATCTGTCAAGAGAGAGAGAGAAGAGAGAAAGAAAAAAAGGCTTACAGGTTTAGGCTTGAGAAAAGATATAAACCAACATACCGCAACACAGTAGAGGGAGGCAGAAAATATCACAAAGCAAAATACCAAAAAAACTGTATCAAGAAGACAGCCTGCCTCCAACACAAACAAAAACAACATAACCTGCCAAACATTCAAACACAAACCAGAACATCAAACTCCAAGCCTAACCTGCCTTAAACCATGCCAAATAACAGCATAAGCCTCAAACAGAAGCTAAGCCTCAAACCAGTTCAAAGCTGGTAAACCACCAAACTGTTTAAACATTCAAAAACCTGCTTCACCGCCCTTTCAAACCTACCCCAGAAACAACACAAATCCTGTCTATACCAGATAAAAGCTTCAAACCTGTTCAAGCCTTTCAACCTGCATAAGCCAGACCTGTTTCAAAGGCCTCAAAACAGAAGCCTCAAAAACAAGCCCTCAAGCTTGCATCCAGCCAAAACCTGTCCAAGCCTTAACTGTACCAACAAACTGTCAAACCTTAAACCAGAAAAATGCCAAAAACAGAAAAAGCCTAAAAGCCAAGCCTGCCTTAAACTGTAACTAAGCATCAACCTTAAACCAGAAACAACAAAAACTTGTTTCAAGGCCTAAGTTTCAAAACAAACCCCAAGCTTCCAGCCTATTACCTGTATCCAAAATACACAAACGTTCAAACCAACCACACCCTCAGAATGTTCTCATCATAGGGTTATAAACATACAAGGCAACTCAAGCATATCAAGCAAAATCAGCATATCAAGCAATCAAAGGCAACTGAGGCAAACGGTGGAAGAGGAAAAGAAGTGTTCAGAAGCTGTAAGCCAACAAGTCTCAGAAGCTCAAATATCATAAAGAAGCAAGCGTTTCATACAAGCACACAAGCATACAGAAGCAAGTGGACAGAAGAGGAAAAGAAATTAAAGCAAAGGTTTTCAGAAGCTCATCACAAAACCATAAAAGACAAAATACGAATACCAGGTTTTCCAGCAAAAGCCAGCTTCACCGCTCCTCGCTCCGGCCACCCTAGGCGCCTCCAAGCCACTGTCCTCCTCCGTCTCCAAAAGCCAAAGGTAGTATCTCTTCCTCTCTCTTTTCACGCGCCTCAAACAAACAACAACACATCAAAATCAGAATACGAAAGTAACACATGTGAAGCTTAAAACCCTAAAATTAAAAAACGAAATCATTACCTTTGTACAACATCACTGAGTAATCCATGGAGGGAAGAAGAAGTAGCGATGGCGCCTGGGGGCTTTAGATGGAGAGCTTTGTTCAGAAGCATGGCATGAGCGAGCAAGACGAAAGCGAAGAGTGATGAACGGCGTCGTGCCTCTGTAACCCTAATTCCCCTTTCTGAAACAACAAAATTCAAACCCTTACAAACATGTGTAAAATGTCTTGGGCCTTGCCCCATACCAAAGCGTTTAAGCCCATTGCAAATCAGGCGTATACCCCCCCCTGTCTCAGCCTGTTGCGTTTTGATTGGATCATAAACCCCCATAAGGCCCATTTAATCCTTTAGCCTTTTTTTTTATTTTTCAAACTAACATCCTTTTTTTTTACTTATCTTTTTATTCTTCTTTTTACAATTTAAACTAACATACTTTATTTTTGTAAATAAAAAATAACACATTAACTCTCTTATATAAAATGTTCTTAATTACTCTTTTTTATTTTAGCTAGTATAATTAAAATATATAGAGGAATAGAACTTTTGAGTTAAATAATTTTTCTTAAATTTAAAACAATTTTCATTCTTTTTTAATTAAAACTTTGTATATAAAACATAAAAATATTAATACAAAAAAATAGAATTTCTTAAAGCACCTTTTCTTTTATTAAAACTTGTTCTTTTGTACATAATCAACAAAATACAAAAAAAATAAATAAACAATACTTAATACTTATTTAATAGTACATTAAGTTAAACATCTTCCCACTTGTAAATAATCACATACACTTACACAAATACATTGATACATTTACAATACACATTTTGTTTCTCTTTGATTCCTATACATTGCTATACCTTACATTTTACATTGTGATTGATTCGATTTGGTTGTAAATATATTTGGACACTACTCTCCTATTAAAGTCTCATCCCCATTTGTAAATATTTGTACCCCCACTCCTGGATACTCATTTGTAATAGCGTAGACTTTAAATTCCCGCAATTTATCGCTTTCAAATATACCATGTTTAGACCTAGGGTTTGCATGTAAATAAAATCAAACGCTAGATAACCTAACACAAGACAAATGCATGAAATCAATACACCATTCACACTTGCACCCCTAGGGTAATCCCGCTTGTTGCCTTCCAAAATGGGCCATGCTTGCACCTTGAGTTTCTTTGGCAAAACAAAACAAATCAAAATGATCATAGTCCCTCGATGACGCTTTCGAAAGTTGCCTAAACAAAATGATCATAGTCCCTTCAAGCAAAATTGCCAAAGACACTTGGCACCATTGCATTCATGGTCCATACGATGACCCGCGCCCGTCCCGTTAACATCCTAACACAAGATTGTCCACCAAATACAATGGTGGAACAATACTGTTAAAAGGGTTAAAACATGAGAAAAACCTTTGAGTAAATTTAGGGGTAGACAACTCTTAGTTACTTGATCAACTTGCAAAAACACACTTGCCTACTTTTCAAAATCCACTCCACAACACACTTTCAAAAACAAACTTTCAAAAAAACATTTGAAACATCTTTTCGAAAAGATACACACCTTTGTAAAACATTCGAGTAAAGAATTGTTACAATGGTTGCCTAGACAAGGCCTCTTTTTCAAAACATTTTCAAACACACACACACACACACCACCATTTCAAGCAATTGAAAATCAAAGGCAAGTGATCTAAACCAAGTAACTAAGAGCCCATGGATAACCATGGATGAAAAGGGTGATAATACCTTCCCTTTTCATAATCTACCCCCCGAACCCACGAAACATCTCAAAAGGTTTTTCCTGTGCTTTTTAACCTTTCCTTTAGGATAAAATAAAAAGTCGGTGGCGACTCTTGCTAAACTGAACAAGTGCGAATACAAACGCAAAAACTCAAGTCAGTTCTCCCACCGTATCACGGGTACCAAAAGACAAAATCATCTATGTTGCAGATATTTTTAACAGAAAAGTTGATACTCCAGTACTAAAACCATGACTCTGGATGCTATCTACTCATGGAGGAAAGAAAGCATATGTTCCAAGGCCTGGAATCTAAAAGATTCTAAGGTTTCAGAGGTAATCAGAAACAGAAGATTACTGGCTCTGAAACTATTGGAAACAGGAATAGAATTACATCATCAGAAGCTCTGAACAAAGCTTGTCTAAAAGGAAAGTTTTCAGAACTTTCTTATAAATCATAAATTGTTGTTTCTTCCTCTAGGCAACTAGAAACATCTTTTATTTCAATCTTTTTGAATGTACGTATATTTATTCTGAACAAGTTGATTTTAAAGCACAAATGGGTTTTCTGCTTGATATTCTGAATGCTCAAAAGGCTATAGAATATACAACACATAAACTCTTATCGTTGAAGAATCAATCAAAGTCAGGTTTGATGATAAGCTTGGCCAGCAACAGCCAAAGCAAATTGATTTTTCTGTAGGTACAGAAGATCATCCCTCAAACTTTGAAACTTCAGAAGCAAAGGAAGACTCAGAAGCAAAGGAAGACTCAGCAGATCATCCTCTTGACAATGCTCTGGACAACTCAGAATCTCTGATCAACCCACTCAGAAAAGGTTTCTAGAATCTCTGGAAGATAATGATTGGATCTTAGCAATGTAAGAAGAACTCAATCAATTCTCCATAAATGGTGTATGTGATCTAGTTCCAAGACCCAAAGGATTCAACACTATAGGAACCAAATGGGTTTTCAAAAACAAACTGAACGAGCAAGGAGAGGTGATCAGAAACAAAGCACGATTGGTTGCACAGGGTTATAGTCAACAAGAAGGAATTTATGATAATGAAACCTTTTCCCCAGTCGCCAGGTTAGAGTCTATTAGATTATTAATTTCTTTTGTTGTGCAAAATAGCATTTCATTATTTCAAATGGATGTCAAAAGTGCATTTTTAAATGGCTATATTGAAGAAGAAGTTTATGTCCATCAACCTCCTGGATTTAATGATTCAAAACATCCAGAACATGTTTTTAAATTAAAAAAATATTTGTACAGTTTAAAACAAGCTCCTAGAGCTTTGTATGATAGTCTGAGTAATTTTCTTTTAGAAAAAGATTTTACTAGAGGGAAAGTGGACACGACTCTTTTCAGAAAGACATTTAAAAATGATATTTTAATTTGTCAAATTTATGTTGATGATATAATTTTTGGAACCTCTAATATCTCCCTTGGAAAATAATTTGCTGAGACCATGCAGGCATAATTTGAAATGAGCATGATGGGAGAATTGAATTTCTTTCTGGGAATTCAAATCAACCAGATTCCAGAAGGTACTTACATACATCAAACGAAGTATGTTAAAGAACTTCTGAAGAAATTTCAGATATCAGAAAGCAAAGATGCCAAGACACTTATGCATCCAACCTGCATTCTGGGAAAAGATGAGGTAAGTATAAAGGTAGATCAGAAGCTCCACAGAGGTATGATTGGATCCCTTCTCTATCTGACTGCATCTAGACCTGATATACTATTCAGCGTGTGTTTATGTGCTAGATTCTAATCAGATCCTAGAGAATCTCACTTAACTGTTGTTAAGAGAATTCTTAGGTATCTGAAAGGTACTACTAATCTGGGTTTGTGCTATAGAAGATCACAAGATTATAGGCTAGTAGGTTATTGTGATGCTGACTTTGTTGGAGATAGAATTGAAAGAAAGAGCACCTCTGGAAGCTGTCAGTTTCTGGGTGAAAATCTTATCTCGTGGTACAGCAAGAAGCAAGCAACAATTGCACTTTCAACCACAGAAGCTGAGTATATATCTGCTGCTGGATATAGTTCTCAGATGATTTGGATGAAAAGTCAGTTAGAAGATTTTAATCTTTATGAAAGTAAGATTCCTATCTTCTGTGACAATACTTCTGCTATTTGTCTTTCTAAGAATCCAATTTTACATTCTAAAGCCAAACATATTGAAATTAAATATCATTTTATAAGGGACTATATTCAGAAGGGAATTCTAAATTTAATTTTTGTAAAAACAGACCATCAATGGGCTGACATTTTTACCAAACCCCTTTCAGAAGATAGATTTAATTTCATTTTAAAAAATATTTGTATGGAATTATGTCCTGAATAAAATAATATTTATCTTCTGTGTTTGACTTCAGAATATTCTGAAATGAATGTTCTGATTAATAACTCTTCAGAAGTTAGAAGAGAAGTTACATCAGAAGCTACATGAAAAGTTCTGAAATGTTCTAACGTTTCATTTCTAAGTATAGTTTAGAAAATCATTAGAATAAACAACTGTCACATGAAACCTTCAGGAGATGAACACGTGGTATGTTTCTGAAAGGTCATGCATGCAAAAGCTACTGACGTCGTTCTAGGTAACTGTTAAATTCTTTAAAAATTATTTTTCAATTTTAATTCTAAACCTATTTCTGAAATTTTTTCATATAAATACTTTTGGAAAAACCCTTTTCATTTTTTACCGTCTCTTTCAAAACTCAAACGTTTCTGTACTTTTTCTCTAAAACCCTTTTCTTCATCTCTCAACTCTAAGAACTCCAATGGCTTCTTCCTTTACTCATTCTGAGAACATTAACTCTGAGCAATACATCGTACCTGAGAGAATAACTCTCATTCCTGTAGACAGCTTGGAAGTGTTAAATGGGTTAATGGTGGCTTTTGAGAATCTAAGAGAAAATGGTTTTGATCTGATTCCTGCTGTTAAGTTTCAAGGTTGGGAAAAAAAATTTGACCGTCTTGTTGGTCCAGTTTTTCCACACCTTGTGAAGGAATTCTGGATACATGCAATTGCAACCCCTAAAGTTATCCTCTCTTTCGTAATGGGTAAGGAAATCTCCATTACTGAAAACCTAATCAGAAAGTTGCTAGGTTTTAAAGGACTTGGAGTAATAGGTATGCCAAGTGGAAGAATGGAAATGTCAAAGGTCTACTCAGAAGATTTTACAAATGGTCAAGGATCTTCTACAGTCAGGGATTTGAAAGATAAGTACAAGATTTGGGCAAGAATAATCCATGGATGTATTCACCATAGGAAGGAAACCAACTCTCCAAATTACATTAATGCTGATCAATAATACTTGTTGTTCTGCCTTGGAACAAATATAAAAATTGATTTGCCTTATTTGTTGTTTGAACATCTCTGGAATCATGTAAAAGAGACTAGGGAAGCTGAAAGGATGAAAAAACCCAAATCCAAAAGGAATTGGATTCCTATGGGTAGATTAATCTCAGACATTCTGACTGAGAATGGTCTGATTGCTCATCTAGATGAAGCTAATCTTCTGGGGGAGCTAGAACCTACTTGTGGAAAGACTATGACTGGGAAGAATTTAGTGAAGAGGAAAATTATTGACAAACTGCTGGTGGAACCAACTCCGTAAGTGTCAGCTACGATGAAGAGAAAAAGGATACATATTGCTGATTTCCCTCTGTTTAACTCAGGAGATCATCCGTGTATCATCCTGCACTACATTGAAATCTGTAAAGAGAATGGAAAACCAATTGATCCAGCTTGGCTCCAAGGAAGAAATCAAGATGCTCCAGATGTTGTTCTTCAGCAACCTTTGAAGAGGAAAGCAGTTGAAGGACCTCCTGCCAGACCTCAGAAGAAAAAGAAATCAGGTAAACCTGCTGAAACTATCACTGTTTATGATTCTGTCAATGTATCTACATCTGCTGAACCCCAAACCTTAGGAGATATAGATGTTGATATTGATATGACCTTACCCTCTGACTCTCTTGCTGACAACCCTCAAAAAAATCAAGTATTATCAGACTTGAGTGACTTTGACTCTGATGAACACTCTGAAACCCAAACAGAACCATCCCAATCTGAACCATCTCAATCAGAACCCTTATAACCATCTGTTTCTCAACCCATTCCTGCTGAACACTTTTCAAGACCTCCTCCCAGACCTTTATCACCCAGACCATCTGGCTGGTATGATGCTGGCTCTTGGAGAATTCCAGGAATCAACGTTCCTCTAGCAACACAAAAACCACCTTTCACCTTACCTTCTGAAAATATTTTTGCCATGAACCGACCACAACATCAGAACCCCATTCCCACTGCTGAAAATACAATAATTATTTCACCTGACATCACTCCACCTACTTCACCACAACTTACAACACCTGAATCACCTATACTCTCACCTCCGCATATTCCAGAACACCAATCTGTTGAACCACCTGAAACTTTTGAACCACCTGAAACTCATGAATCATCCGAACCTCATGAACAATCAGCACCACCTAACCTTGTTGACCAACCTGACCTTTCAGCCACTCCTGAACCAACAACAAATCCTGAACCTGCTAACTTTTTTAGAACTATAGTGGATTATGAATCTCTACAATTTTTGAAAAACAAAACTTTCAAGAAGGCTGTCTAAAAACCTGTTCAGCCAGATGTAAATATATTGTTTCAGAATTTTTTAACAGAAGTTCAAGCATGGTTGAATCTGCTGAAAGAAGATTGCACCAGAAGTGTGAACCCAGCTGCAACGGATCTTCTGTGGGAGACTTTCAGAAGAACCTTAGATGCTGATTCACTGAAGCTGCAGGACTTATGTCACTCTCAGGTGCTGGATAACTTCTCCAAACATCTACATGCTTTCAAATCAGAAGCTGCTGATATTTGGAACAAGAAATCGTCTCTGATGATTGCTGATGCACCAACTGATAAAATGGACATATCAGAAGATGAATCTGAAGATGCCTCTGACGATTCAAACCCTCTGGCTATTGTTCTCCTTAATCAACCTTCTTCTAAGGCAGCTCCTGAACCTGTGCCAACTCTTGTGATGGATTTGGGAACTCTGCTTTTAACCTTTGTGCATTCTGACTCAACGGTTGCTGCTCCAAAGGCTGTTTTTGCTGAAGCTTCGTCATCCTCTGATCCTACTTCACTTATCATGAATACTCTGAATGAGCTCAAGAGGGAGAATGAAGTCATTCATGAGCGCTTGGATAAGCAAGACCATACAAATCAAGAAATCAGAAGCTGGATGATGAAACAAGAAGAATCTGCCTCTGAGATCAAGAATCTTCTGATGGCTCTTGTTACTAAGAAATCCTAGTGTCTTTCTGTTTATTGTTTTTTGTTTGTTGTTTTGTACTTCTGGATATTTTTTGCTCTTTTATGAAAACTTTTAAGCTCTTCAACTATTTTTTATATACTTTTTGATTATGCCAAAAAGGGGGAGAAAATGAGTATTTTGATCTAATCTATGATTAACAGTTATGGGACTAAGTCTCAGACATTCTAACAAAATACAAGATTTCTTTCTATGTGCAAAAGAATTTTTGCAAGTATCACTTAAACTCTGGAAGAGTAATTCAGCTGAACATTATCTTCAAAAGAAGTTCTGAAGAAATCCAAGAAGATTTTTTTTTCAATGCTCTGATTAATAATCTCAAGAAGTTTTATATATATAGAAATATTCATTTCAGGGGGAGATTCTTATCTCTTATTATATTTTATTTCTATATCTGAATATTTTTTGTCATCATCAAAAAGGGGGAGATTGTTAGAACAAGATTAGTTCTGATCTATCTCAGAGTTTTGATGATAACAATAAATTATATTTGA